ATAATAATAATAATAATAGTTATTTCAGGGGCTCGAGAGATGGTTAAGTGCTTGAGAGAAATTGCTGCTCTTGTAGAGGACCAGAGTTCAGTTCCCAGCACCCAAGTCAGGAGGCTCATGACCACCTGTAACTCCAGCTCCAGGGGCGCCAACTCCCTTTTCTGGCTTCAGAGGGCATCACATGGACAAGCACTCATGCATGAACGTACACACACACACACACACACACACTTAAAAACATAGAGAGTGGAGAGATGCAGCAGTTAAGAGCACTCACTGACTGCTCTTGCAGAAGACATGCATTCAATTCCCAGTACCCACATGGTGGCTAACAACCGTCCATAACTGCAGTTCCAGGGGAATCCTACAATCTCTTCTGACCTCTGCAGGCATTGCACCACACGGGTGTACTTACACACATGCAGGCAATACACTCATACACATAAAATAAAAATAATGAAATATTTTTTAATTTAAAAATAAAATAAAAATCCTAAAATATCATTTTATGTCAAAATCCAAATGACATGCATTAAAATTGACCAGGAATTGTATCCAGAGCTCCTTGTTTGACATACAAACTCTGTAGAGGATCATAACAACATGTCTTTAGCTTGGTTGGAAAGAAACTTGTTCAGAATTCATGCCAAATTACATGAGCTTCAAACTGGGCTGTCTTCAAAACTTCACTCCTTTTACATACTATTCCCGTTTCTTTCATCCCTAAAAATCGAATGTCTTGTCAAATATTGTTGACGAAAGTTTTGCGCACAAGCCTTGAAAAATGTCAAGTTCACATTCTGTCATTAATTGTTAGTTTTAGATGTATTGTCTAGCCAGTTCTTCAATTGCATCTTCTGTAAACTGGGTACAAATGTATTTTCCACACAAGGTATCATAAGGAGATAATGGGCACGTTAATGCAGTGCTTGGAGTCCTCAGGCGCCCTCAACCGCCCAGCAGTGCTTGCCTTATCCGCCTGGCCGCAGCAGCCAGCTTTGGGGAACGTTTCTCCAAACAGCTTAAGGACTCCCACGGGGCGGGGCTTTGGCTTCTGACGCTCGCTGCTAAGTTCCGGAAGTTTAATGGGCAGGGACGCAATATAGGCTTGGGTGGGGTTGGGAAGCCGGCGTCCTCTGGTCTCCTAGGCCCCGACCCTAACGCTCACGCAGCCCGGAGCCCGCAGCAGAGCTCCAACCCCACCCTCTACCCCTTCCTCCCCCTTCCCAGGCTCTGGCAATGAAAACACCACCACGTGTCCTGCAGCCTTCACCTCACGCGCTCTCGACCAATGGAGAGCCGAGTTGCAGAGTCAGGGGCGGGCCCCCTTCCCAGGCTCTGGCAATGAAAACACCACCACGTGTCCTGCAGCCTTCGCCTCACGCGCTCTCGACCAATGGCGAGCCGAGTTGCAGAGTCAGGGGCGGGCCCTCGGCAAGGCGGTCCCGCCCGCCGCCGTCAAGGATTGGCCCAAGGGGTGGTACCTTATGAGGCTAGTGGCCAATCGTGACTGGTGAAGGAAGCCCCGCCCTCTCAGCTGTTTGGCTCCGGGGGATCCGCCGGAGGACTGGGGCGGGGCTACGTGGGAGAGGGGCAGGGCCTAGGTGGAGGAGGCGGGGCCTAGCTGGGCCGGGGAGGGGCTGGAGTTGGGTTGGGCGTGGTTAGAGGTGGGGAGTGGGCGGGGCCAGGGAGGCGCTAGGGCTCTCGGAGCCGGCTCAGGCGGGCTGCAGAGGTGGCTATCGCCGGCTCCGAGCTGCGGTGTCCCGGGTCGAGCCCCCATGGAGGCCGAGGCCGCGGATGCCCCTCCGGGCCGGGTGCAGGCGGCGCTCAGCTGCTTCTCTTTCAACCAAGATTGCACGTAAGCCACGGCGCCAGCCCCCTGGCCAGGGAAGTCGGGGGACTGCATGTCGCCACCGCAGGGTGGTGTCCTGAACGCAACTGGTGGCCGGGCCTGCGCGCCGGCAGGACCTGGGTGGGACCGCCAGCGTGGCGGTGCACGCGAGGGGCTTGGTCCCCACGCTGTCCGGGGCTGTGGGACTTAAGCCCACCCAGAGGTCCCCGCCACTGCCGGCCGGCCAGGGTGACAGGAGGAAGTCAGCTCAGGGAGCGGGGCCTCGAGGGCCTCGGTGTAGGGGACCTGGCGTGGGAAACCTGGTGGCCCAAGCAGGGATCAGGACCAAAACAAAGGAGAGGGGAGGGGGAAGGTGCAGGTTGACTCGAGATCTGAGAGCCAGGAAGACCATTGCCATTTGTCCTTGAGCATCTCAACGTGGCATGGGCAGGGCCTGGGACAAAGAGGCAGCCTATCCCTGTGACCAGGCTGGCCCCAGCACGGGGCATCTTATGGGTGTAGGAAACCTTTTTATTTTCCTTACTATGTCTTCACATCCTCTACCCAGTGACACAGAATCTCCTTCGGGAAGCCCAGGAAACCCTTTCTCTGGCCTAGACAGGTTTCCACCCAGGAAGCAGGAACTCCACCCTGTTGCATTGAGTGGATTTTTAACGTTTCACTTTGATGGTCAACTTTTGGACTTTGGTCCACGACCCGATCACTGCTGAAAAACTGTGCTTCAGGCATCTGTGGGATTCTTAGAGCAAATACCTGTTTCCTTCCCTGTTTTCCTGGAAGCCAGCCTGGGAACCGTATGGAATAATCTCTTTGGAATGTGCAGCCGAGCATCAGGCTTCTAGGGCAAGGATGACCACTTCTCAGTGTCCCACTTCCTGTCGTACCAGTTTCTACTGTGTTCCTTCTTTGGAGTCAGCTTCATGCTTGTGCCTTTGCTGCTCCCACGGGGCTGAGCTGGGCTAATATTGAACATTCAGTGGTGTAATTAAGGCCATACATAAGCAGCCCTGGTTTCCATTTCCTTTGTGTTTCTGTTTGAAAACCTCTGCTCTGAACAATATGCCTTTGTTTGAAAAAACTGTATGTGTAATCATGTAATCGAGGAGCTGGACAGCTTGGTTAGATGAGTGACTCTCCAGTTGCCTCTGACCACAACCCACAATAAAAAGTACATATTACGACATCTCCCAATAGCCATAGACATGTAATACTCACAAAATATTGTGTGGTACCTCTTGGTGCTTTGTTCTTACTTTGTTTGGAGACAGGGTCTCATGTAATCCAGACTGACCTGGAACTCCTTAAGTAGCTGAGGATGACGTTGAAATTCTGATCTTTTTGCCTCCATTTCTGAATTGCTGGGGTTACAGGCATGTACCATTACACCCTGTTTATGCATTGCTAGGGCTTGAACCTAGGCCTTCATATATGCTAGACAAGCACTCCAACTGAGCTGTGTTCCCAGCCATGTGTGTGTGTGTGTGTGTGTGTGTGTGTGTGTGTGTGTGTGTGACTGAGCATCAAACCCAAAGCCTTAAGGACTGTACCACTGGGCCACAACCATACCCTGGTATTTTTATGCCTTTGTTTAGAAAGCTGCTGTAACCTGCCTAGTTGTTTTGGGATCCTCTCCTAGGTTGAGACTTACATACATGATAGGACAGATAAAATTCTGAAGTTTTGTAAGAAACTTTTGCAAGAGGTTATGTCTGTTGAAATGCTGGGTGTTTTCCTTCCCAATTGAACATAGGTTGAGAAGGGGAGATAGTTTAAGTAGTAAGTATTCTAAATTAACTTTATAATATTATTAGATTTGGAAAAACTGATGTTATTCTCTACTCTAGTTATTAAATAATATAGTGTAACAATTTCTATAGCAATTGGATAAGAATGTGAGTTTTCAAAACTGCTGGGTACTTTGACGGTTGATTTCCTTGGTCCCTTTCGTGAGCTCCGTTTTCTTGGATGAGGGCTTTTCTGGGCAGCTCTTTCTCACCTATAAATAAAAGGTCTTGTCACAGTTAGTTGCTTGGAGCCAGAGAGGGTATGACATTGAATTTTAAAATAAGTCAAGTTCCTTGCTGGATGCATTAGGTGAATTGGTGTGTCCTTTTCTATGTGGGCTGAGTTTGGAATCTAGTCTTTCTACAGAAGATACTAAAGAGAATTCATCATTACCAGTGTCCAACATTCATATTTAATGCCTGACACTGTACTGACACCTTGGGCCATTTTTTAAAAAATATTTTATTTTTATTTTATGTGTATGAATGTGTTGCTTGCATGTAGGTAAGTGCACCCGTGTTGTACAATGCCTGAGGAGGTCAGAAGAGGGTGTCAGATCCCCTGGAACTGGAGTTATGGACAGCTCTTAGCTGCCGTGTGGGTACTGGGAATCGAACCCAGGTCCTCTGCAAGAGCAGCCAGTGCTCTTAACCGCTGAGCCATCTCTCCAACCCTACCTTGAGGCCATTTTAAACTTGGTTAGTGATCTGTGTTTGCCCCAAACTCCATTCTTTTTTTGGTCTTTTTGAGACAGTGTCTCCCTGTAGCCCCAGCTGTCCTGGAACTCACTATGCAGACCAGGCTGGCCTTGAACTCACAGAGATCCACCTGCCTCTGCCTTCCAAGTGCTGAGATTAAAGGGGTGCGCCACCATCCCCGGCCCCAAACTCCATTCTTATGAGCAGCGATGAGAATTTTCTTTCTACAAAAAGGACTTAGGGGCAAAATAAGATGTAACTATAGAGTGATCATTTAAAATGTAGCAGAGATCACTCTGCCTTTTTCTTACATATAAAATCCTTCTAGGCCCAATGAGATGGCTCCATGGGTAAAGGCCCTTGCTGCCAAAAGAACCAACTCCCACAAGTCGTCCTCTGACTTTTGTGCAAACAGACACACACATACACACGCACATACAAATGTAAAATAATATTTTTTTAATCCTTCTGAGCCGTGTATGATAGCTAGTGCCTGGAGTCCTAGCTATTCCGGAGAGTGGGGCAGGAAGATCACTTTAACCCACAACCTCAGAGGCCAGTCTGGGTAATGTATTGAGACTGTCTTTCAAACATAAAACAAAGAAACAAACAAGATACTCACCTGTTCCCGAAGGAGGGTTTATGTTTGAAAATGACTGACTTTCTGGGTCTTTTCATTAGTTGTTGCTATTTTTGATGAGTGTTGGGCGACATGGAGCCCTGCTTCAGAAAACAAAACAAACCCGAAACAGTGATCATCCTGGACGGCATCTCAGAATTCAAAGCTGCACCTTGGCCACTTTCACAGCTGCTGTTTGTCTGCAGCTCTGGACGCCCACCCCCAGGTCTCACTGTACTGCAGCTGTAATGTAGATATCTACACAACAAGCTGAGCTCCTCCTCAGTTTGGAAGGTTAGGGGACAGAACCTACTGCTTTGATTAAAAGTCGACTGTAGTTGCAGGTTCCTGTGTCCAGGAAAGAACAAATGTTTGAGTTGAAAAAAAGAATTCTGGGGAAAAATCATGTGAGGTTGTCTTTTTTAGGTTAGTGAAACATGAGCCTTGGCATCCAGGCTTGTGAGGTGCTTATTTAAGTACAATGCTTCCCTGTGAAAAAGGAACCTCACCTTTTCATATGTGCTTTAAATAGAGATGTTGCACAAAAGCACCAGAAGGTCCATTTCATCCTCACATCCCACATTCCCAGGGCAGTGTTCATGGTCACACTACTTATCTCAGAGTGTTCTGTGCAAGGCTTTGGTCTTCACTTAGCTGTTCAGAAGGAAGCAGGAGAGAGATGAGAGGGTGCTGAACATAGGCAACTTATTTGCGTTCTCTCTTCCTTTATTGAGACAGGTCTTGTTATGTAGCTCAGGCTGGCCTCAAACTTGCAGTTCTTCTGTATCAGCAAATGAGTGCTGGGGTCACACCTGATGACTCATTTACACCTTGACTTTACTTATTGGTTGAAAGTGGAAAGTGGTCTGGGGTGACAGCACAGTCACTAAAATGTGTTCCACGTAAGCATGAGGACCTGTGTTCTAGCCCCAGAACCCATGTAATTAAAAAAAGTTGGGTGTGATCGTGCATGTTTGTAATCCCAGCTGGGGGAGCGGGGGAGGGAGACACACATATCCCTAGGGCTCACTGACCAGCCAGCCTTGCCTACTTGCAGAGCTCTCTGCCAGGTGGACAGTATTTCCTAAGGAACCACACTGAAGTTGTCCTCTGGTCTACACACACACACACACACACACACACACCCCTAAGCTGCTATATGCAAACACATAAACACACAAAATGCAAAAATTAAGAAAAATATTTTAACACACATTGATGCAAGTGAATATTTTATTTTTAGTTTATTTGTTGATTATGATAATAGCTTTATAGAACATAGTACAAAACAGTTTTCTCTGGCTACAGGTTTGTGTGCTTGAACTTAAAAAAAAAAAAATTAAGGTCCCTGAGTGAGTTCGCAACATACATATAGTATCTAGGATATCTTCTTAGAAACTGATTAAAGGAAGTATTTATTACATGTTTTGTGTTTCTTTTCTAAGATCTCTTTTTTTTTGCATTTTATTTAGCTTGTGGTGTGCGTGTGGTGTGTGTGTGTAGTTTGTGCGTGGAAGTCAGAGGACAACGACTGAGAGTTGGTTCTCTTCTTCCATACTGTGAGTCCTTGGGATCCAACTCAAGTTGTCAGTCTTGACCACAGGCACCTTTACCCACTGACCCACTGAGGTGTCTTGCCAATCCACTGTATGTCTTTATTAAGTAAAAATAAGAAAGCATTTCTTTCTTGAGGAAAGAAAAAAAAAATTGTGCTGGGGACATGGCTCAGTTGGGGACCTGTGTTTGATTACCCAACACGCACGTGATAAACCATGCACAGATACAAACACTTGTGATCCCAACCTTGGGGAGTGGAGACAAGAAGATCCCTGTGGCTTACTGGTCACCCATTTAAACCAAACCACCAGCTCCAGGTTAGTGAGAGACCCTGTCTCAAAAACTAAGGCAGCCATGTGTGATGGCACACACCTTTAATCCCAGCACTCTGGAGGCAGAGGCAGGTGGCTTTCTGTGAGTTCAAGGCCAGCCTGGTCTACATAGTAGGTTCTAGGCCTGTCACAAAGCAGACAAACAAAAAGGGTAGAGAGAAATTGGGGAAGATGCCAAGAGGTTGACTTCTGGCCTCTGCACACATATGTGCACCTGCACCAGCACACATACACAAACACACGAGCATGTATATACACATAGTAATAATATTAAAATTTTTTTAAAAACATGTTTTCCCTTATATATGGATCCTAGTCTATAATGTATATGTTTAAAAAATGCATGGATGGGTATACTATAATATTTAGAATCTAGAACAAGAAGGGGTAATTTGAAAAGGTGCATAGTCTTTGTCTTTTTTTCATGGTGTACGTGTGAATTCAAATTTCTGTGTATTAAAGTACCAGGAACCATTTCCTTATAAGAGTCCAGTGATGTCAGGAACTGGAGGTGGCTGGTACTGAATGCATGCTTCACATTGACCCACTTGGAAAAGTGACTTCTTGTTCTTAATGTTTGCTGTAGTTCTGTGCCCGGGGGTTAGATGCTGTTTATAAGAATTGTCATTGTGCCGGGCATGGTGGCACATGCCTTTAATTCCAGTACTCTGGAGGCAGAGCTGGCACTACAGGGAGACCCCATCTCAACACCCCTCAAAAAAATAAAAAAGAAAAAAGAAAGAAAAGTGCTTTCCCATACATAAGGAGATCCTCTAGCTCTTTGAGGTAGGCTATTCTGAATATTCTTAACCCTTTTCCTTTGCCTGCCCCAGCTGTGAAAAGAAGATCAATGGTAGCTTTCACATTCTGCTTGATGACAGCCTGGGCAGTTTCTGTCACCTAATAATTTTCCTTTAACCTTTTTTTCTTTCTCATCTGACTGCCAAGGCATGCTTTGCCACTGAAGAGGTTATCAAGAGATCTGAGTTCCTGAAGATGTTTGCCTGCACCCTAGAAGCCTGTGGGGAGAGGGGTGTGTTTCAGACAGGGCTGTGCTTGGAACTCAGTACCTGTTGTCCCTCTCACACTGTCATCATCTTCCACAGGTCACTAGCGATTGGAACCAAGGCCGGTTATAAGCTGTTTTCTCTGAGTTCTGTGGAGCAACTGGACCAAGTCCATGGAAGCAGTAAGTGTGTGTGTGTGTGTGTGTGTGTGTGTGTGTATTTCTGCATGTGTGAGTGTATGTGTGTATGCACATGTATGTGTATGTATGTGTGCATGTGTATATGTGTATTTGTGTGTGTGTCTGTGTGTGTAGAGGTGTCTCAGGGATACACAATCTTCCTTTGGATTTCAATCCATTTTTTTTTCTTTTCCTTTCTTTGGAGTCCTGGGGATTGAACCTAGGGCCTCTTGTGTACTGAGCAAGCACTCTGCCACTGAGCTGTACCCCAGCCCTGGACTCCAGTCTTGAGCTTTTCTAATTTCTCTCTTACCCATCAAACCTGAGAAGCCAGTGTTGGACAGATTTGAATCGTCGTCTCCACTTGCATAAAAGTCACAGTGATGCTCTTTTGAAAGTTTGGCAGTAATGTAAGCGACATTTTCTTTTTTCAGATTACAAAATCCCTTGTTTGAAATCATAGTGTTGATACTTTTCCATATATTCATGTTGACAGTGAACAACTTCTTTCATTGTCAAGCCAAAAGGTCAGTTCTAACTGCTTTTGGCTGTTTTACTGGCACTGTAGAATATTGATACATTCATTTAGTAGGAAGATGTTCTATATGTTTTAATAAAGTAACACAGTCCTATTTATATAGCCCATATTGAAGAGGTTGAAGTGTTTCCATGAATATTAAAAACAAATCCACTTAGAAATGTGACTCTGGTTTTCTCAGGGTAATAATTTATGCCATTGCAATAGTGAATAATATACAGCTTTTTTAAAAGAATATTTGTTATTTTTTATTTCATGTGCATGAGTGTAATGCCTGCATGTATTTGACTGTGCCCGTGTTGTGCAGTGCCGCAGAGGTCAGAAGAGGGCTTCAGATTCCCCTGGAACTGGAGTTAAGGACGGTTTATAGCTGCCATGTGGGTGCTGGGAACTGAACCCGGGTCCTCTGCAAGAGCAGCCAGTGCTCTTAACCACTAAGCTATCTCTACAGCCCCCCAGAATATGCAACTTTTGCATTTCCTGAAAAGAAAGTAGTTTGGTAAATATTATTTGGGGCTCCTGATTTATTTATTTTTAATCTCTTTCTGTCTCTCTCGGTCTCTCTCGGTCTCTCTCGGTCTCTCTCTCTCTCTCTCTCTCTCTCTCTCTCTCTCTCTCTCTCTCTCTCTCTCTCTCTCTCTCTCTCTCTCTCTCTCTCTCTCTCTCTCTCTCTCTCCCTCTCCCCCCCACCTCATTCATGTGTGTTGGTCCTCACCTTTCACCTTGTTTGAAACAGGGTCTCCCTGTTGTTGTCTGTGTAGGCCAGGCTAGCTGGACAGTGAGTGTCCAGGGATCCTCATATCTCTGCCTCCCACCTCATCACAGATACACTGGGATTACAGACATAGCTGCCACACCCAGCTGTATGTGGAAAAGCAAGTGCTTTACCCACTGAGCCATCTTTCTGGCCTAGACTTCTAATGTACTTGCAAGATGATATTACTAGCATATCATATCATTTTGGCGAATGCTTTGCTATGTATATGTCCCATGTTATATTTCCTGTGGGACTTGCCCAAACACAAGCAAGAAAGCCACGTGACAAAATGGTCCCAGAAAGACACCAAGGCCTGACCTGGGAGCCCTGGAGGCTTACTAATGTACTTTCCCTAAGTATGGGAGCACTTTCTTGAGCTGTATAAACCCAGCACTTGGGAGGCTGAGACAGAAGGATTGTGAGTTCAAGGTCAGCCTGAGTTATAGAACAAGACCATCACACACACACACACACACACACACACACGTACGCACACAGTGAGATGGCTCAGCAGTAAAGTTGCTTGCTGCCAAGCCTCACAACCTGAGTTCAATCCTTGGGACCCACATGGTAGGAGAGAACCAACTCCTACAAATTGTCCTGTGACCCCTCCACACATGTGCACCCCGTAGCGCACACACACACACTTAATGGGTAATTAATTCTATCATGCATATAACATGTTCAAGGTGGCTCTGGAGATCCTAATTTTGTGTCTTAGAATTGCCTTTGCTTTATTTGGAAAGGGTTCTAGAAGTGTTGCCCCTGGAAACAGTTAAAGGTCCCTGATGGGAGCAGAGTAGATCAATACTGATGCAGGATGCTCAGTCAGCATGACCTGGAGCCCATGTGCAAATTAGCCTGTGCCATGCCTGGTGCTGTGAAAGCCTAAGTCCTTCCTCCGCCCCCAGCTGCCTTTTTGACCATGCTTCTGCCTTTCCCTCCAGATGAAATCCCCGACGTGTACATTGTGGAGCGCCTCTTCTCCAGCAGCCTAGTTGTAGTGGTCAGTCACACAAAGCCACGGCAGATGAACGTGTACCACTTCAAGAAAGGCACTGAGATCTGCAATTATAGCTACTCCAGCAACATCTTGTCCATAAGGCTGAACCGACAGGTAAGGAGGTGGGTTCCCTCTAAGATTCCAGGCTTCTGAGAACTAGAGCCTAAAAAGGCATCTTTAAAGATGAATGTCTTTGGGCTGGCTAGAAGGCTCGGGGAGTAAAGGCATTCGTCACCAACCTGGTAACCTGAGTTAGAGCCCCAGCACTCATATGGAGGTAAGAACTGACTGTGAGTTGTCCTCTGACCTCCACATACACGCAGAGACACATGCATGTGGAGAGAGAGAGAGAGAGAGAGAGAGAGAGAGAGAGAGAGAGAGAGAGAGAGAAAAAAAAATAATTTTTTAGATGTGTGTGTGTGAGAACACACACACACAGAGAGAGAGAGAGAGAGAGAGAGAGAGAGAGAGAGAGAGAGATAAACAAGTAATTTTTCAGATGAGTGTCTTTGAGGCTGGGGATGTCACTCAGTTGGTCGAATGCTTGCCTAGCATGCACGAATCCTGGGTTTGATCCCCAGTACCACATAAACTGAGCATGATGGTGCAATCCTATAATACCAGCACTCAGGAGGTGGAGGCAGGAGGATCAAGGTCATCCTCAGTTACATAGCAAGTTTGAGGCCATCTTGGGCTACATGAGACCTAGTCTCAAAAAAAATGTCTCTAAAAGCAATTGTTACATGCTAAGAGGTTTTTTGTTTTTTTCAGGATTCAACAGCAGGCTTAGTCATGGGTAGTATAAAGAGCATCTACTCCATGCCTCCTCCCTGGCCATCCTGCCTCATGTTCCCCAGTGTCAGTCACTGCCTGGCCAAGCACACCTTCTCCCCCTGGGGCAGACTGGGCATGAGTAAGCATAGGTTGGCACTCTGGCTCAGATCTGTCCCATGAGCTGCCATGGGAATGGTAAACAAGAGGAAGGTCTCTTCTAGTTTTGGCTGTAGGCAGAAACGTTCATTGAAGATACCTCTAAGAATGGCCTTTCTGAGACTGGAGTGTGTTCCCCCTAGGTCAGCTCCAAAATCAATCAGTAAGCCTGACTTATGGCTCCCTCTGTGAGCTTTCCTAGTGGGTCAGATACTCAGTCTCATGCTCCCAATGTTGTAGCTAACACTCCCCACCATGCTGGGGACTGAACCTAGGTCCTCACGTGTGCCTAGAGCCCTACAGCTGAGCTATATCCCCAGCCTATCCAACTAATCCTTAAGGATGCATTCTCTGTGAAAGGAAAGATTCTTCTTATCTCAAATACACAATATGTCTTTAAAAATATAAGCTGTTGTGAGGAAAGTGTCTTTTTTCACCTGAAGTGGCTGGTTTTATGTCCTGTAAGAGGAGAGGCTGTAGCTGTTTTGTTCCTCACTGTTAGTCTTGCTGGGAAAGAGCTCCTGAGTATCTGTCTCCTATCCAACTATTAAACAGGTGAATAAACTGAAAAATCCTTCATGGGGATGCTTTGAGGACATTTTTTTGTATCGGAATTATTAAGTGCTGATTACTAATTTTTTCAGATTTATTAATTTTTATCTTATGTATATGAGTGTTTGGCCTGCATATATATGTATATGTATATGTATATATGTGCATCACTTGTGTGCAATACATGTAGAGGTGGGTAAAGGGCGTTGGATCCCCTGGAACTGGCATTTCACACAGTTGTATGAGTCACATATGGATGCTGGAAACTGAACACCGGTCGTCTGCAAGAGCAACCAGTACTCCTAACTGCTGAGCCGTCTCTCCAGACCAGTGATTAATTCAAAACAAAACAAAACAAAACAAAAACAATGAGAAGTTTCTGAGAAGGAAAATATTGTTACTTTGAGTCTTTGGTTTTGTTTTTGAGATAGGGTCTCACTCCATAGCCCAGGTTAGCCCAGAACTCACAGTGATCCTTCTGCATCAGCCTCCCAAGTGCTAGGATTACAAGAGTGAGCCCCCACAGCCAGCGTGGTGCTTGGAGTCAATCAGCTCTTTTGGCCGAGTAGGCAGTCCGTAGGAGAGGGCCTGAGGACTAGAAGGTGGGTGTTTTCAATGAGACAGATCAGGCACGGAGAAGAAGAAAAGCAAGAAAGGGAAAGGCGGCTTGAGAGTCTTCCACTTGACAGCTCTGAGTAGAATTCTTGGTGCAAGCCTGCCTCTCAGACCTGTTGCCAGCATGCTAAGCTTTGGTGCAGAAACTTTTAGTTTTGCAGAGTAGCAGCCAGTATACAAATGTTAAATGTCTGTTTGGTACAGATCATCTTTCCAGGGTGACTTAGTCAAATGTTCTATCAAGACCAAAACTCTCAAATAACCCTCTAAAAAAATCCATCAGATTTGCTTGTATAATTTCTCCCTCCCCCTCTAGTATTTTCAGTAACAAATTACACAAGGAAGGGTTCCTCAAGTGTCTTGAGTCTGTTAGCCTTCAGACACCAGCCTCCACCTGATAGAACACTCATTAACTTCAGGTTCTCACTGCCCCCCACCATCTTTGAGAGAATACAATGTAACCAGCCCTGCCATGCTTACTGCTGAAGCTCACACCAAACCAGAGCTCTTGGCTTCCCTTCCTTTAGCCTTTGGTCTCCTAAGATGACGTGATTCAGGTCTGGAAAGGGTATGGGTTTTCTTTTCTTAAATTTGTCAGTTTGGGAACCTCATTTTTGGCTTAGGCCAAAATTTACAGAGGTATATGTGAACTCTTAAAGTTCTTCAATCATCTATTTCCTGTTATCCAACTGCAAGCTGATGGATTGAAGCCTTTGAGGCTATGTCTGTGGTGCTCAAAGCAGATTCTGTTAACTTTAGATATTTATTTATTATGTATATAAGTATGAACCTACATGAGTTTTATGTGTACCATGTGCATACAAGAGCCTGGGAGGCCAGAAGAGGGCATCCCATCCCCTGGAATGGGAGTTACAGGCATTTGTGAGCTGCCATGTGGGTGCTAGGGACCAAACCTGGATCATCTACAAGAGCAGCAAATACTTTTAACTGCTGAGCCATCTCTCCAGCTCCTAATGTTTTAACTGATGTTTTAATTGACAAAAAGAGTGATTACCTATAAAATATAGGAAAGGAGGTGAAAGTCGAAGTGGGCTGGGGATGTAGTTGAATAGGTAGAGTACTTGTCTAGCATGCAAAAAGCCCTGGGTTCAATCCTAGCACCGTAAAGTGTTAGTGCACGTCAGTACTCTCCCAGCACTTGGGAGGGGAGACAGGAGAATCAGAAGTTCAAGGTAATCCCTGGCTACATAATTTGAGGCCAGCCTTTTTTCTTATAAAAAAAAAAAAAAAAGAAGTCAAAGACAGGGAATGGGTGAGTTGAAGGCCTTTTGGGGCTGAGACTGCAGACCAGCTGTTAACAGTGGAGTGACGCTCCTACAAGAGGCAGGTGTGGGCTCACTGTCCCAGGATCTGTCACAGGGCTGGGAGGGAGATACCAGAGAATTTCAGAAACCTCAGAACAGAAATAAACACATAATAAGTTAGTCCAAACCCTAGCTGTGCTGACAGAGGGCAGACTGATCAGGTGAACACTTCACAGAGAAGTGGTCATATTTCTCATTGTTTCTGAGGTTTTTAAAAAGTTTTAAAATCTTATTAGTTTTCTTGTGTGTGTGTGTGTGTGTGTGGTGGGAGTACATGTGTGTCACCATGTACATGTGGAGATCAGAGGACAATTTTTTGGCATCAGTTCTCTACTTTCATCTTTATAGGCTTTGGGGATCAAACTCAGATTGTCAGGCTTACACAGCAACTGCCTTTACCCACTGAGCCATCTCATCTCGCTGGTCATTTCTTTACTTCTCAAACATAATTTCAGCCCCATGGCCACAGAGCTCTAAAAGAGTACCTAGGAGTAAGTGCAGGAGTATCACAGACCCGTAATCCTAGCTACTTGGGAGGCTGAGGCCGTGGGATCATGAGTTCAAGACGTGTCTGGGCTATAGAGTGAGTCCAAGGCTAGCCTGGACAACGTAGTGAGACCCTGTATCAAAATAAAAAGAGGGCTTGGGATGTAGCTCAGTGGCAGAGCACTTGTCTAGCTGTGTGAGACCCTAGATTCAATCCCCAGTAGGGTTTCCCTCTTACCAGGAAAACAGGAGGGCAAGGGCAGGCTTTCCTGGAGAAGTGTCCACCACCTTTTACATATGTGTTAGGTATCTTTCCTTCCAAATGATGTACTTTGGAATCTAAGCAGCTAGCCTGAGAGCAGTGGGCCCACAAACTTGGGTGTGTGTCATCATCTCTGGGTCTTTGTTTAAAAATGTCCCAAACCAGAGTCTCCAGTGAGAGTCTGGGGCTGCTCCCTTCAGGGATTCTGGTGCTCATCTGATTCTGAAAAGCACTGGTCTAGTGGGAGCTGAGTCAAGTTGTGCAGGGGTAGAGGCAGCTGGTCAGAGTACAGAAGGAGCTGTCCAAGCACAAGTGCTTTCCCAACACTTAGAACCTTTGCTGGGCTTTTTCTTCACCATACTCCTTTATATAGGGTACTATCATGGGGCAATGCTCTGAGCCTGAGATTTCAGATGAAGAGATGGTCAGTCAGCAGTGTGGTGGAGGAGTACTGTGAGAGAGCTGTGCCCAGGGAATCTGCAGCGTGAGAATGCAGGGCCCTGGGGAGGGATGTTAGCATGAGAGCTGAGGACTGTGGAGAGCGACCCAGAGGTGGGTCTAGAGGAGAGCTTAAGTGGAAGGAAGGTGCACCAGGTCATGAGACACTAAGTGTTCTTATCCCAAATGCTGGGGACTAGATTTCAGGCTTTCACATTTTGCAATATTTACATAGAGCCAGTTGGACACCCCTAATCCAAAATTCTAAAATATAAAGTTGTACAGGGTCCCAAAGATACTGAACACCAGAGTTCAACTTCACTTTGGGTTTTTTTTGGTTTTTTGGATTAGGGATGCTCAACCTGTATGTAGAGAAGAGGGCAAAATCGAAGACAGCTACAATACAGAGAGTGTAAAGAAATGTATATTTGTGGGAACTGGAGAGATGACTTAGATGTTACGAGCTTTGGCTTGTCCTGTAGAGGACCCGGGATCGGTGCCCAGCACCTACATGGCAGTTAAGAATCTTCTGTAATTCCAATTCCAGGGAATCCAATGCCCTCTTCTGGCTTCCATGGACACTGTATGCATATGGTACACATACATACATGCAGAAAAACAGGCATAAAAATAAAATAAAAATAAATAAATCTTTAAAAAAAAATAGGTTGGGTGTGGTGGTACGTGCCTTCAATTCCAGCACTCAAAAAACAGAGACATGCAGATCTCTGTGTGATAAAAGCTAGCCTGGTCTACATGGCAAGTTCTAAGCCACTTAGGGCTACAGGGATACCCTGTCTCAAACAAAGAAACCTACATTTGTGTATTAGGGAGACCTCTGTTACTAGCAGTGAATATAGGAATGGAACAAAAGGGGTTCCCTGAACCATCCTGTTCTAAGGAGGGGAGGGAGAGGAGGGAAGGAGGGACGGGAGGGATAGAGGGAAAGGGAGAGAGAGTACAGAAAGAAGGAAGGGAGATGGAGAGAAGACAGAAGGATGGAAGGGGAGAAGAGAGACAGGAAAGAGGGAAGGAAGGAAGGAAAAGAAGGAGGGGAGGGAGCAATTTCAATTTCTAAATTTAAGATTTTGTATATGAGGCATCTGTTGAAGTGGGCGATGCTGTGCACTGCATACATAGCATTATCTTCCAAAGGCATCACTAACATTCTCCCTTGTAGGCATGGAATCAAGTTAAGACTCACAGGAAAGATGAGGGTTGGATTCAGCAGCTCCCTTTTCCCAGGCTCTGTGGGGACTGATAGCTCTGTCTGATTGCAGCGGCTGCTGGTCTGCCTAGAGGAGTCCATCTATATCCACAACATTAAAGATATGAAGCTCTTGAAGACCCTCTTGGATATTCCCTCAAACCCAACAGGTAAGCTCCAGGAACAGAACCGAGCCCACCCCTCCCCAAGTCTAGACAATGCTTTCCCAAGCTACAGTTCACCTAGCCTGAAAACCCCGAGACCAGTATATGTTTTGGGGTCTTCATGGTGTTTTCTTTGAAGTTGTGTTTGAATGGTGCAGGTTTGACTTCTGCAAGGCTGTGGTCCCTATAGGAGGGCTGTGGTCCCTACAGGAGGGCTGTGGCCTGTCTGGTAGCCTGGGGTCAGCACCCTTCTTCTGGGACCCATGTCAACAAATGGGCCAGGACATGTAAGGTAGACGCGTGGGAGATTTCATGTGTCTGATGTTGAAAGATGTTTACCCCTAATGCTTTTTCATGGCTGTTCATTATGGAGTAGGTGTGATAATTAGAAGCAAGTTTTGACTTGGCGTGTCTACATGGTTAGTAGAAAGAACATCTGAACTACAAAGAATGTGTTTTATTAATGACTGGAAAACATAGCTCTTGACGGAGGTGATATTCTAGAATACCGAACTTGATTAAATTCTCAGAATTTAACATTATTTGATACATTTCTGGTATTTAAGAATGGAAGAGTTTAGATTTGTTAGGATGAAATAGCAGATGATGATGTCTAATGAATTCGTTGAGCTAAAAGTGAAAAAGAATGAATCTCCCTACTGTGGTGTGGAGGGTCATCCCAGAAAAGCAGTCTGTGTATCTAACTATTCAGGTCAATATTTATTTTGTTTAGTTTGGTTTGGTTTGGCTTTGGGGGACAGGGTCTCCCTGTAGTTCCAGCTGCCCTAGAATTTGGCCAGGGTGGCCTTGATCTCACAGAGATCTGCCTGCCTCTGCTTCCCAAGTGTTGGATTAAAGGCATACACCACCATCCCAAGCAGGTTAGTATTTATGCTATATTTTAATTAGTACACTAAATGACTGCTTCCATTTACTGTAGCTTCCCACTTCTTTGACTGTCATGGAATGTCAGCATCTGTAAGCCTCCACCCAAGCGACCAGGGCTTTTTGAGCCTTGGTTTCCTTATTTGCAAGAAGGATAATAAGGTAATAAGAGCCCCACAGCACAGGGTGAGCATTAAACCAGGTATCATTCATGAAGGTGACCAGCCCAGGGCCACTGGTGGATATTCCTCATGCCTTATTTTGTTCTCTCTCAATAATAAAGATGCCTTTTGCTATTGATAGAGCTGTGTGCATTCGTGTGTGTGTGTGTGTGTGTGTGTGTGTGTGTGTGTGTGTGTGTGCTTG